CGGCGCTCGGAAAAATGGCACAAGTATAGTCGGATTATTGGGAGATCAGACTAATGGATCTCAAAATATAGGACCCTATGGTCGGACTAATGGGTAGTCGAACTATATGGGGGTCGGACTGACGTGTTGTCCCCCCCCCCCCGCCCCCGCCCCCCTGTGACAGGGGAAAAAATGCTTTGGGGGACACACAACTCTACCAGGTAAAGCACACTCAGTGCACTGTTGAGGAGTTGGTAGAATTTCACTTGACCTAGATTTTCTTTGACTGAATACAGCCCTACTGGAAAGAGACATGTTATTACACTTTGAGTTCCATCTAGTTCCATTACATTTGAGAGGAAGCAGACATTGCTACAGCCAATATCTCCAACATTCGGCAACTCACACCAAAATAATCTAGAGTAATAACTAGCACTTCTGGTGAGAAATGTGTATTTTTGATTTTTGGGCTGAACTGTCCATTTACACTCAGAAATAAATACAAAGAAGACTGATGGAACACATAAGAATTGTTAAACTGCAATACATCTGATCTTATCTTGTTTCATTGAGTTACTTTATTTACTATTTGCCTTTTTCGCATTAGTGCTTAAACATTTCAAATATATGAGCAACCACATTATACTCAAAGGTGCACTTTGACCATGCATGACAAGGTGCTACTTAAAGAACGTGGGAGAGGAACAGGTAGAGAGGATTTTTTTCTAACATGACTTCTTTAAGTTAACTGCAGTGTTACGCAATGCCCCAAGTGTAATTAGACTTCCGTCTTGATGTGAGTCACTCAGTAAACTCCATCACTGAGAAAGATGCCACTTGAAATGTATAGCTCAAGTCTACACGGCACTGGAACATGCACTTGACATCTGAAGTATCCCTGATTGAATACTGATGGGAATATTTTCTTTCCACGTCTTTGTAACAAGGATACTTCAGGACTGATTCTTTGACAAGTGCAATGCAATCAGCACACCTGTAACACAAACATTATCTATGGCCTGATACTGACATGCTCTGTTATGTAATGTATGGTCTATTAGATATTAACCATAAATAGTCTTGATTGCCTAATCATGATCCTTAACAATTAGGATAAGATATACAACCATCTTGCCTGTGAACTATAACCTTCTGTGATAGAAGGGGCGGTTTTATCAGGCTCAGGGACACTGTCGGGACAGTTTGCCTTGATTTGACGAAGACAGATGAACAGTCAATGACAGTCTATCTGTGGACAGACATACAATTTTCAAAACAAGGGCTTGTAACACTCAGGTTCCAAGTGTGTTTCCTCCACTATGTGAACAGAGTTATTGGCCCAAGTATTATCTGGAGGTATAGGGGTAATGTTTAGGGTTACAGTTTCATATTTGCTGCAGGTTGTGGGGTGTCAAGAGGAGGACGTAACTTAAGTCAAACTTCAGACTTCCCCTATCCACCAGGATCTCCAACCAACCATTACAAGTAGGCATGTAACGATATGTCGAATTTCGCTGTGTCGCGATAAAATAAATTCACGATACCGTCGTGGGAATGCCACGGTAGTTATATAGCTGCGTTCTCCTACAGAGCCGGTAATATGACTGCGTGACTACATTCCCCATAATCCTTTGCATGCAACTGAGCACGCAGGTGAGAGCAGACTCATGCAGCTCAGCATCTCAGCCTCTCCGCGACTGTTCGTCATAGCGAGAAGCCACACATATCACGTGAAACAGCGGAATCGTGGCTTTCCGACAAGACCAAGCACTTGTCGGTAGTCCAATGTTTTCACAGCGAAAAAAAATGATAAAGTTACACTAAAAAAATGTATAACAAAGCTTTCATACGGCTTTGCACACACATTACTTTTGGATGGATTACTCGCGAACGCAGGGTCGCACAGAAACGCCAAGCATATCACATGAAAGCGCAGGACCAGAGCTTTCCTCTCCTCATCTCCTGTTCTGTTAAAGTGTTAGGGTCTCCTTGATGTCAAGATTGTCAACCTGGCGTGAACAAACTGAGTGAATGTGTGTTTTTGAGTTTTTCTATGACTTCCAGGGAAATGGCTGGACTTTATTTATTTTGGTTTTCTTTTACACACATCTCTACCCACCTCTCTCTCTCTCTCTGTCTCTCGCTCTCTCTCTGTGTGTCTCTCTGTGTATCTGTGAGTGAGGGACTGTGTGTTATTGAGTTTACATTATTTCTAATTTGTTAATTGTGTTGTTGTTGCAGGGTCTGATTGTTGTAAGTTCTGTATATTTGATGAATATTAAGACTACTCTATCCTCATAATTTGATGTCATTCAGATGACTTTCTAGTAATAGTACTACACTACTTTTGTTCAGAGTAGGTTAAAAAATACTGAATGTTTCCATTTTCATATTCTGTCACTATAGTTTTAATTGACATGACTTTGTTATGGCACTTTAATGTCTGCCTGCCTAGCAGTAATAGAGGGAAAATGAAAGCACATGTTCAACTGTGTGTTGATTTGTTTATGATGCGTTTCCAAGTTAAAAAATAACATGCTGTACAGTGTACATGCACTATTTTTGAATAAAATAGCTATTTTTAACAATAAATTTTCTCTTTTTTCCCCCTGTATAGATATAGTGATATATATCGTATCGTGGACTCTTTATCGTAATAATATCGTATCGTGAGTTTCTGGTATCATTACATCCCTAATTACGAGTTAGTATTAAAGCAGTAAGGACAAGATCCCTCACCGGCTTCCCACCAATAAATCATTTGCGATCACTTAGCCAAGCCAAAAGCACAGTAACAGTTCTTGTGTTGATTAACATAAACAGTGATTCAAACATTCAGCTTGTATTGCTTAATGCCTGTGGGTTACTTGCAACCACAAACAACAGCAGGAGTTTCCCTATTAATTGTGGCTGTCAAAGAAAATCTTAAAATGAACCAAATTTCATAACTGCTCCACTTTAATACTAGTAATGTTGTTCTGCACCAGAGTATACTTGTGCCAACATATACGTACCATTTGTTAATGTTGTCGCTGCAGTTTAGAAAAAGCACGGCAATGGCAAAATCCCAAGCCCATACTATGGAGTCAATCCTTGATGTTAGGCCTACTATTGTTTGTATTCTAGAGACAATGTCAAGAACGACCCTTTGTGTGCCGTTGTGTGCCACTTTATTTCCAATGGCCATGCAGTTCAGTGCGTATATGCAGATTTCAGAAGAGACCAGCAGCATGTGAAATGCCTTTAGAACTCTACTTGCCAACTGCTACTCATGTTAAAAAGCAGTCCACTTCTGTGTTGTGGTACAGTTGGTTTTCACACCTGATATGACCATACCCTACACCACATTTTCAAGTGAATTTGGGCACAGAAAGGGACCTAGTCATCCCACTAATTAAACAAACTGGACTTTGGGCCCAAGCGTACTCAGATCTGGGCCCAGGTCCCTGGGGCCGGTTGCACCAACTGGTCTTAAGCCTGGTCTTAAGCTAAGTCGGTCGTAACTTGGCGTTCTAAGTCCGACCTAATAGTTACGCCGGTTGCACCAACAGGGCTTAAGACTTCTTCTCACAAAGACCGGGCGTAAATCTTACACCTAGTCAAGTGCAGGTGTAAGGTCATTATCAAGCTGCGCTCATGCGCTCTAGAGCGCAGAGAGCGCAACTTTATTGTGGCACGTCTCATCCACCGTCTGTATACGAGCGGGCATTTAGACGGGAGAGGGTAATTAGGGACAGAAGCAATTGGACATAGCCTATATAATGACAAGGAGCTGATTGAGAGGTTTCAATTCGGTAGGAGAGATCTGTTTGAACTTATTGAGAGAGCTGTCACCCGATTTACAGTTTGTGTTGGGCTGCAACGCAGCACTACCACCCGCCTTCCCACCAGGCAGGGGAATCCTCCCCAAATACGTCAACAATGATGTCACTGTAAATTGAGGTTTTCGGGGAGGACCCCCGCCAGTTGGATGATTTTTTTTGGAGGAGATGTATTTTTTTGCCTTGTTGAGAAGATCTTTCCACTTCTTCCTCATGTCAGCCTCTGTATGAAGGCAGCCAGAGTCTGAACACGTAGGCTATTGATGTGCCCCGTTATCTCTGCCCATACCGACTGTTTTTTCTTATCTGTGATACGTCTCTCTGCTGGCTGTACAGCTTGATTAATTTTCTAATTTCAGTGTCGGTAAAGTTTTTCGTTGATCCTTCATGTTTTCTTCAAATCTTAAACTGTAAATAAACTGTCAACACAGATGAGAGGGGCTGTCAACTGTCAACTGTCATCTGTCAAGCACACAGGGTGATTCAGCGGCGCATCATTTAACGTCACCATGCTCCTCTAGGCAAGCCGCGAGGGGCATTCCGGGGGCATTCACATGGACGCGCACAGCTAAAACCAGCATAGCTAAGACCAGGCGTAAGCCCTGTTGGTGCAACTGGCGTAAGTCTACTCCTTAAGACTGGTATTAACAAAGACCATCTTAGGGGTTACGACCAGGCATAGTAAAGACCAGTTGGTGCAACCGGCCCCTGATGTCTAAGCCTCCTTCGCTGCCTACCAATTCAATACAATGATGCTATAGAGAATTTGCTGGTATCCAAACAAAATCCAATCAAGAGTATGGTTTCTGGAAAACTGAAACATTTAGGGACCGTACACATGCCGTGTTTTTTTGCAGCCTCAAATCCAAGGTAGACACCCGGCAGGGGCGCTCAAACTTCCAAACGACGCATTCCCTAGCACCTCTTTTCAGGGCACAATGGCTGCGCACGGCATGTCATGTGACAAGGACCAACCAGTCACAGTCAACAGATATCTCTCTCTTTATCCATAAATAGGTGATCATTTTGGGGAAGTTAAGTATTTTAGTGCAGGGCTGGCCGAGCGCCTGGAAGAAGATCAGCTCTGCACCCAGGATTTCAGGTAAATAGGCTTTGGTAATGGCTACTCATCATTACATATACAAGAGGTTACACAAGGCGATTAGGAACAGCAGCTACAATATCTGAAGTATCTCTTACCACATTCCAGAATAAAGGGTTGAATATGATGGCTATCACAGCAATACAAAAGCTGGAGTCATGAAAGTTGATGTGTCGCAGGAGTCCCTCCATCAGCGTCACGTCCATCTGAAAGAAACAGCCATGTGAAAATCACACAATTACGTGAAAACATAATTTCATTAAGAGAGGAATTAAGAGAGAAAAGTGTGGCCTATGATACTGTCCTCACTTGCTACTTATAAAAAGGTGTTAGAAATTGCCAGAGGTCAAATTTCCATCCAAATTTGGTACAAATTTTCACAGAATTTTCCAAAATCTGCCAAAGCTATGCAACCTCTTTTGACTTCTCATTTCCATGTTACTTCCTATGTCTCTTGCAGATACATTTTAGTTAAATGTTGAAGGATGGAGAGCTTCAGCAGATACATCCGCATCTTCTTGACCCTTAAGAGGTTTTTTCCCCATCATTTTGAGTTCCTTTTCAACCTTAACAGATGTGTGCTACATACTGTCTGTTAGTTTTGGTCTGAAATAACATTTGCATTACTGCATATTACTGTATAGTGCTGTCTCAATCACAGTATATAATATTTTCATTGTGAATAAAGAGGGCAAACAGACAACAGTGGACACAGGGCCTTTTAAGAGTTAAGCATGGGGTAAAAATAAATTCTGATGACTTATTTGAGGTGCAGCAGCATAGACCGATATTCCATCTCTGTAACACTGAAGTGCTGTGTGTGGTTTTCAATTTATGCCTACTGACGCCAGAGATGAAGCACAACAAAGAATGTGTTTTAAGCCAAAAATCCCAGTTTGCTTTGGTTGTTTTACATCAGTGTTGAGGCCAAAAGGACAACACAGCCTCAAGTATAAAGGTCCAAATACAGTGGCAATGTAGGCGCCAAGTCTGGATAAGTAAAAAGAATGCATGGAATAAAAATGATAAGTGAGATTTCAGTCAATTGCCTCTATAAAATAAAAGTGAACTATGACGTAGTTGGCTGAATGCACTTACTGTAGGTCGCGTTGGCTAAAAGCATCAGCTAGATAAATGTAATATAATGAAGTACATTTTCCAGAACAGTGAGTTATTAGGAAACATGTGGTTCTCCATTGCAACTGCACTCTTCTTTCAGGAAAATATAAGAGCCTTGCACTCAGTGTTGTCCAATATTCATTACCTCCCACATACAATACCTTCACTCAGTGTGTATGACTTTCACTCAACATCTACAACAGCTATCTAAGTAGTAGGGATCATACTGCACTGTACAGTGATGGTATTATCAGACATTTCTGCTGAATCAATGCAACAGTTACTGGCTTATTGACTTCAAATCACAAACAGTGGTATTCTGTGATAGTGTGTGTCAATAACAGGCCCATCTCAAGCTGCTTCTGTTGTTCTCTGTGGAGGGATAGGCTACTGAGTTTAGATCTCTTTCTCATCGATTTCCAAAGATACAGGCTGACACAGGCAACAGGTCAAGGTTACCCTGTTAAATTTAATGAGTGCTCTGACCTTGAGTGTATAGCTTGCAAGTAATTGAGTGAAACATGGACAATTCAAAGTGAACTGCTGCAGGCCAGAAGAGGTGGCTGTCAGTACTTTTTGTTATTGTCAAAATCATGACTCCACCAGGCTTGTTGTTTAAAGGTTCTTTATGTGACAGTCAGAACATTATTATAGCAGCAAACCACTATTTGCTATATAAAGATATAGTGGAATATTCTAGTCCGTCCATGTGTGCATGTCAGTGTATGTGTGTATCCTAGTGGCTAGCTCCTACCCCCACCACTGACATCTGGGCAGCAGCGGCAGCGCGGAAGCAGTAACACCGTTAGTTTTGTCAGCACAGTTGCTGTTGTTCAGCGCTGTTAATGGAGTTAACACTGTTAGCTGAGCCACCAGCTCAGGTAACTCCATGCTGAGAACCGTGTCCAGACAACTAATACTATGGGTTCCAATACCCATACTACCATACTGTTTAGTATGCCAGGAAAAAAAAATTAGTATGTCCCAATATATGGTATGTTAACTGAAATATGCCAAAAATACAGGATACATCTGGTTGCATTTTGCGGTATGCAAGCAAGCATGCAGATGATTGGGTTCTGTTGGCTTCATCACACTAAGACCTCCATCAGGCACTGGGACAGTTTTCAGCCGAGTGGGAAGCGGATGGCGTGAGAGTCAGCACCTCCAAGTCTGAGGCCATGGTTCTCTGCTGGAGAATGTAGGCTTGCCCCCACCAGGTTGGGAGAGAGTAACTGTCTCAAGCGAAGGAGTCTTGTGGTCTTGTTCATGAGTGAGGGTAGAATGGAGCATGAGATGGATCGGCGGTTTGGTACGGTGTCTGCAGTGATGCGGACTTTGCAGGGGACCATCGTGGTGAAGAGGGAGCTGAGCCAGAAGGCAAAGCTTTCAATTTACTGGTCCATCTATGTCCCAACCCTCACCTATGGACATGAGCTCTGGGTAGTGACTGAAAGAATGAGGTTGCGGACACAAGCAGCCGAGTTTCCTCCATGGGGAGGCTGGGCTCAGCCTTAGAGATAGGGTAAAGAGCTCAGACATGTGCTCATCTGGCTTAGAACACGTTGAGGTGCTGGGGAGAGGGACATCAGAGGTGCTTCGCTGGGCCTGTTGCTCCTGAGATCCGGCCCCAGATAAGTGGATGAAAATGGATGGATGGATGGATGGAAGCCAGCAAGCAGTTCTGACTATTCTGATCCACAATCCTCTGCACAGCGGAAGATGCCTCATATCGACTGAGTCACAGACAAATGACAGCTCACTGACAGCTGACAATAGCCACAAAAACAATCATAAATACAACACATAACAACAAAAAAACATAACTATGAAATAATCAATAACAGAGAAATGCAGGTGTAATTTTACTGGCGCGAATATATTATGTTAGAATCTACAACGTATGTAGTTCTTACTTTAAAGTTGAACTACATACATTGCAAAGTAAAAACAGCAGAGCTGTTTGGGTCGACCCTTGTCTCTGGTGGGCTTGGCGAACCACATTTTATCTCCAAGGTAAGGGATCTATGAGCAAGAGGGTCAAAGTTCAGAGCACACTGTTGTGACAAAGTAGTATGTCCCAATTGTGTGCATAATGCATGCAACAGTACTTACTTTGTAAGGGCAGCTGCAGTACCCACTAAAAGTAAAAAGTATGTAATTCAGAACGCAGCTATACACTTTGAATTTTGTGTAGAACTAGGGTTGGGCGATAATACGGTAATAAGGTATCCAGCGGTATCTAAAAATAGCAACGGTATCAGTTTCATTACCGTCATTTTAAAAAAAATCTGCCGCGTATATAGGCCTACAGTGGACTGATATAATATTAAATATAATTTATTTAATGCCTAAATAATGAGGGCTTGTCCAGCACCTATGTATGTGTGATTGAGTTTTCAATTTAATACTATTATAATTTAAAACTAATAGTAGTCTATAATGTTTTTCTTATAACTGCCCTTAACTCAGGACATTTGATAAAGTTTTTGGATGTCACCTCGTCACGTGACAGCTCGGACGCGAGAAAGAGAAGAAAAGATGGCAAGCCGCACATCAAGCAAGTTGGTCCTAAAAAAAAAACACAACTTCACAACTTCTGCAAGCAGCAGCAGGTCCAGTGTCCATCAGAGTGAAGGAGGGAGAAGCGCAACCCGAACCACCGGAAAAAACAGATGACTGTGGGCAGTCTCCTTCAAAGAAAGGCCGATGCGGCGGCAGGTCCGGTCGGCACCATACAGAAGCAAGCAGGAGCAGAGGTAACGGCCTGTTGTCGTGAGCCAGTTATTCAGGGAGACGCAGACCGTTTTCCTCTGATGTCGAGGGCTGCCTGAAAGTACCTGTGAGTTTGTGCCACAAGCTCTCCATCAGAGCGCGTATTCAGCACCGCGGCCAAAGTTGTCAATCCACTACGTGCCCTGCTCCAGCTGGAAAAAGTAAACATGCTGGTTTTTCTGGCGAAAAACCTTGAATAGTTTTGAAGCATATGATGCTGCTATAGTTATCATTAAACTTTGTTTTTATTTCATTTTTGTTTTTATTTCATTTTAACCCTTTGAAACCTGAGCAAATTGGCTTGGTTTCTTTCAAAACCATGGGAAGAAGGCAATGAGCAACAGAAGACAAAATGACCCAAAGAGTTAGCAAGAAATGAGAAAAATGAGAAAATTAAAAACAAGAAAATTAGTGCAGAAAAAAAGTTAAAAACAAACAAATAACCTGGAAAAAGTGCATAAAAATTAAAATAATTCTGTAACATGATTTGAAATATAAAATTATGATATTTATAAATATAGCTTTTCCCTAGCTTTTTCCCCATATTTTTAAAAGATATTGCACCAAGTTGCTCGGGGTCCAAAGATTTGAATACCTGTGAAAGGAGTCTAAAAGCAGCACAAGAAAAGTGATGTCACTCCAGGATTCAAAGGGTTAAATGAGGAGAAGCCTGTTCTGACGAAAAAACAGTTTGGACTTAGAGAGGGTGAACTTTTCAAACTAAAGGTAGGCTCTAAAAATAAACCAACGGTCTTTACCCATTGCGGTCTGAGGATACGCTGTATAGCACACATTTTCGCTATTGCCTTTGTTGTGTATTGTTACTTTTTTATTATTTGATAAGCCTGTAAGTATTGGATGTTATAGGACTGTGTTTTAATTTAATGATTTGTGTCGATTACTGTACTGGAAGTGGACTGTAGCCCACAGACAATTTGTTGTTATTCCATTCTGTTTGGTTGACTGCTGCATTTGAACTTTTATAGATATTTGTTAATAAAAGTTGTTAATGTTATACATGTTTTGTTGTTATTTTTCAGTATTCTTAGGCCTATGTAATGTTTGCTATTCTGTTTCTGAACGGTATAGGTGCAAGCCGACATTTTGGCGACTCCCTCTGAGCCCTTTAAAGTGATTTTTAATTAGTCATGGTAATACCGTATAGCCCGGGAAAATGTGGGGAAGGTTTAATGGTAACAAAATTTGGATACCGCCCAACTCTATGTAGAACCCCTTTAAATAAATAAGAAGATAAAAAATATGCTCAAAAGTTGTTTCAAAAATAGGTAGCACACATGGTAATGTTTTTATTTGTTTGTTTACCTACTTAAAATCACTGGCCACCACCCACTTTATTAGGTACACCTTGCCAGTACCAGGTTGGACCCCTTTTGCCTTCAGAACTGCCTTAATTCTTCATGGCATAGATTCAACAAGGTGCTGGAAACATTCCTCAGAGATTTTAGTCCATATTGACATGAAAGCATTATGCAGTTGCTGCAAATCCATGACCATTCCACCGTTCCAAAGGTGCTCTATTGGACTGAGATCTGGTGACTGTGGAGGCCATTGGAGTACAGTGATCTCATTGTAATGTTCAAGAACCCAGTCTAAGATGCTGGAAGTAGCCATCAGAAGATGGGTACACTGTGGTCATGAAGGGATGGACACGGTCAGCAACAATACTCTGGTAGGCTGTGGTGTTTAAACCATGCTCAGTTGGTACTAAGGGGCCCAAAATGTGCCAAGAAAATATACCCCACACCATTACAACACCAGCAGCAGCCTGGACCATTGATACAAGGCAGGATGGATCCATGCTTTCATGTTGTTTTCTCTAAATTCTGACCCTACCATCTGAATGTCACAGCAGAAATCAAGACTCATCAGACCAGGCAACGTTTCTCCAATCCACTAATGTCTGATTTTGGTGAGCCTGTGTGCATTGTAGCCTCAGTTTCCTTATCTGACAGGAGTGGCACCTGGTGTGGTCTTCTGCTGCTGTAGCCCATCTTATTCAAGGTTCGACATGTTGTCTGTTCAGAGATGGTCTTCTGCAAACCTTGGTTGTAACAAGTGTTTATTTGAGCTACTGTTGCCTTTCTATCATCTTGAACCAGTCTGGCCATTCTCCTCTGACCTCTGGCATCAACAAGGCATTTTCTCCCAGAGAACTGCCGCTCACTGGATATTTTGTCTTGTTCGGACCATCCTCTGTAAACACTATAGATGGTTGTGTGTGAAAATCTCAGTAGACCAATGAAATACTCAGACCAGCCTGTCTGGCACCAACAACCATGCCACATCCAAAGTCACTTAAATCACCCTTCTTCTCCATTCTGATGCTCAGGTTGAACTTCAGCAGGTTGTCTTGACCATGTCTACATGTCTAAATGTATTGAGTTGCTGCCACGTGATTGGCTGATTAGCTATTTGCATTAAAGACCAGTTGAACAGGTGTACCTAATAAAGTGGCCGGTGAGTGTATGTATGTCATAAAAATGGTACTAAATGCAAAATAAGAATTTTAAAATATTTTTTGTGTTATTATTTGTGTTGTAAAAATACATTTTCAAAATTTAATCTGATGCAAACTTCACTTTTATAAAGTCTGTTGATGAAATTTCATTGTACTGATAGTGTTAACACATTGTCAAGCGAGGTTTGCAGAACATCGTGCTTTTATTTTGAAAAAGGCCTGCTTTCCGGCTGTCACGATCAACACAATGAGCAGTCTGTTCCAGTCGGTCAAACCGGGACCTTCTGACGCTGTCTGTGTGAGCGGTCACACGGATTCATGTGAGAGTTATACATGCAGAGCAGCTTCGTTTTCAACAGTTTTAATGTTTACCTCCGAGTAGTCGATGTTGTTGAGTCCTCCGCAGCAGTCCAGCAGCACAGGGTGATTGTTTCCAGCCGGATTATCGTCCCGAGCAGCTGCCGTGTCGCTCATACACACCGCGTGAACACTGACTCACTGTCAGCACTCATATAAGTGTGTGAAAGATGACAAATATTGCTCAATATTCAGTGCAAGGTTCTTGTTTTCCTGTCAAACGAGGGTGCAGTTGCTGTGGAGAACTACACAAGTCCTGATAACCTCTCACCCTGCTCAAAGCATCCTGGGAAATGTAGTTCAAAGTTCACTTGTGGATAGAAGCAGTTGATTGGTATCCAACACAAGCGCAGCACGTATTCTCACCCGGATATCAACTTTATTATTTACCCTTTGGACCTGCTGCTACACGTGATAACCATGGATGTATTTCCTATCAGTTTTCTTCTTTGTAGTGATTTAATACCCTGTTGCTCCACAGTGACATCTGCTGGCTGACGAGGAGACAGCTCCCAGCATTATACACGAGACATCTCTTAAATCATCAAATTAATTGGCATTAAATCAAAACTAAAGGCTCAGTCTGTTACGTGGTGTAAATAATTGTAAATTAAAGGCTTACACAACCACTAAATCACAGGATTTTCATACGGACTGTTAACATTTGTTTGTCATCACTGCAATAAACATGAATTTTTATCAGTGATAAGCTGTAAAATGCACACAGCTTATTTTCCTTAAGTTCAATTCAATATACGCTGCCCAAAAAATTAAGGGAACACTTAATCGTCAAAGTATAACATTAAGTTAAACTTCAAGGATATCAATCTGTCCATTTAGGAGGCACAAGTGATTGTTAATCAGTTTTACCTGCTTTGGTGCAAATGAACTAGACAACAGGTGCAATGAAGAGGCAAAAGCAAGACATCCCCCGAAATGCATGTGTTGGCCACAGACAATTACTGTCGCCCTCCTGACTGATTCTACCCTAGTTTTGTGTTCTGCTAGTGTCCTTGTCACTACTGGTAGCATGAGGTTGCACAGGTAGTCCAGCTCCTCCAGGATGGCACATCCATTCGTGCGGTCACAAGGTTTGCCGTGTCTCCCAGCGCAGTCTCCAGAGTATGGAGGAGATACCAGGAGGCTGGTTGTTACACAAGGAGAGCTGAACAGGGCCATAGAAGGGCATCAACTCAGCAGCAGAACTGGTATCTGCTCCTGTGTGTGAAGAGGAACAGGAGGATGACCTCCAACAGGCTACTGGTGTGTATGTTTCTGACCAAACTGTCAGAGACAGACTCCATGAGGGTGGCATGAGGGCCCGACGTCCTCTAGTGGGACCTGTGCTCACAGCCCAGCACCGTACAGCTCAATCAGCATTCACCAGAGAACGCAAGAATTGGCAGGTCCGCCTCTGGCACCCATTGTTTTACATTGAGCACATGTGACAGGCGTGAAAGAGTCTGGAGATGCCATGGTGAACGTTCTGCTGCCTGTAACATCATCCAGCATGACTGGTTTGGTGGTGAGTCAGTGATGGTCTGAGGAGGCATATCCTTGAAGGGTCGCACAGACCTACATGTCATAGCGGACAGTACCCTGACTGCTATTAGTTCCTGGGATGAAATCCTCAGAGCGATGTCAGACGTTATGCTGGTGCAATGGGCCCTGGGCTCCTCCTGGTGCAGGACAATGCCCGGCCTCATATGTCCAGAGTGTGTAGGCAGTTCCTGGATGACGAAGGCATTGATGTCATTGACTGGCTCTCTCGTTCCCCTGACCTAAATCCAACTTGGCACTTATGGGACACTATGTATCAGTGCATCCAACGCTGCCAAGTACCACCATAGACTGTCCAGGAGCTCACTGATGCCCTGATCCAGGTCTGGGAGAAGATCCCCCAGGACACCATCCACCGACTCATCGGAAGCATGCCCAGACGTTGTTGGGAGTGCAGTACAGGGATGTGGGGACCATAGACACTACTGAGTCACATTATGAGTTGCAGTGGTAAAAGTCACGCAAGTTGGATCAGCCTTTGATTTAATTTGTTTTACTTTGAGTTTTGGTGTGATGGGTTGATGATTTTGGTTTCCATTGATCGATGTTACGTCATTTTGTTCCTAATAAATTATACAGTGTACATCAATAAAGATTTTCAACATGGCATAATCTGTTCATCAAGATCTGATGTGTGATTTAGGGGTTCCCTTAATTTGTTAAGTAGTCTATCTAGTTTGTTTGTTTTGAAAAAAGAAATGAAATAAAAACACCTGATTTCTCTGCCATCTCTACATCTATTCTCATTGCTTTCTTTACTTTTGCCTCATTTTATCCCCCTTCTCTTTTTCCTATTTCTTCTTTTCTACTGTGCCCTTTCCTCTTTCTTTGTCTTCCCCTGCCTCCATTTCTCGTCTCCTCTCCCACCATTTAAAACATTTCTATTGGCTTCTCTCTTCTCCTTTTTTCTTTTCTTGTCTCATCTCTCCTTTTCCCTCTGCTTCTTCTCCCTCTTTTCCCTGTTTCTTGTCTTATTTTATACTCCTTTCCTTCTGTCGCCCACTTGTCTTTCCTCTCCACCTCGTCCTTCCTTCACTCCACTGCTCTTCCTTTTTTGTCATTTTGTTGCATTTCCTCCTCCTGCCGTATTCTTTTTTCTTTTGAGGGTTCACATTGTTCTGTTCATTTCCTTTCACCACCTCATTACCATCCTTCTCTTTTCTTCTCCCACTCTCATCCCCTGCTGTTCACCTGTTTTCTTTATTCCCATTTCTGCTCAAGTCCTCCTCTCTTCGATGTGATATCTATCCTTTAATCTTCTAATCTCCTACAATTCGTTTTTACCTCTACTCCTTCACTATCTTGTTTTCCCATCTTTTGTTTCATCTTTTCTTTCTTTTTACTCCTCTTCCCCTCTCCTTTCTTCCCCTCTCCTCCTCCAGCCTCCTGCTCATTGTTTGGAGTCGATCCGTTAAGTAGAAGACACCCCATGTGGAGGGAGATATAGAGGGAGCTCGTAAATCCTCGCAGCTCCCTGACCGAGTGCACTGTCCGTTCATCATCTTGCAAGCTGTCGGAGGCGAAAGCTCCATCATGTAAAATTAAACGAGCATGACATCCAGCCAGCAGGCGGAGATTATGGCTGTAATTGAGACTCTCTCCTCTGTTTTCAAGCCATTCTTGCTCCTTCATCTACTTACGCTCCTGCCATGCATGATGGAAACAACAGTGGCACACCTAAGAAATTTTTCATAGGGGTGTCAAGATGGGGCCCCTGACAGTCTTGGGATAGCACACCAAAGGCCGCAACTGACTCAGGAATTTGATTATGCTGTGTAAATATATAAGCAAGTTAAAATCTATGCCACTATGAGAGTTAAGGAATCACATACTGATAGGTACCTTGCATTCTTATTTTACATATTACTAATTATCTGATGTGCATAGGCTAATGGCGTTTCCATCATAATTTTCCGATGTGATACTTCTAGATGCGCATCTTAACAGGCTGATGGAAACATGGCTATTGTTCTTCAGTGGTTCAGTGGTTGAATTGGTTGTCCTTTTCCTTAAAGAATTAATATGCAGCTTTAATTCAAAGGAGTACATTAATTGTAATGAACACAACATTTACAGGGAAGGTCTAGGTATCTTTGGATAATTCGTAATTCATTTCTTCCTCTGACAGAGAGACACCAAAAAGAATTTGCAAAAACCATAATTGGCCTGTTTGAGTTTGGATTTCCAATTTTTCCTTTACAAACGAAAAACAAATTAAACCACGTGATTCCGTTTTTGGTTTTTGGTTTTAAATTGAGAAACAAAAAAACATGTGACTCCATGGGTTGTTTCATTCTTCATTCCAAAACGAATAAGGAGAAAAGGAATATTCAATAACGAAAAAACGGCTCGGTTTTGATTGGTTTTTCGTTTTTTGATTCTGACATCAAAAATGTTTTTTCCGTTCTTCGTTTTGAAAGAAATATCAAAATGACGTTTTTTTCATTTGTCAATTAGAAATGAATTACGAATTATCCAAAGATACCTAGACCAGGGAACAAGCCGCCTCAAGTTTAGGGGAAACTCATGGGTATCTGTAGAACCCATTTTCATTTAGAAATCTTGAGATGAAATTTTATGGGATCCCTTTGAAAATGGCCATGCCAGTTGTTCCTTCGTGAAAATTTAGCCTAAAGTTTGACTGTCATTTAGCCCACTTCCTAACATGCTACACCAATGGATGCCTTTGGTTGTATAGTTTCGCAAGGTACCTTTATGCTAGCGAAAAAAATTCAGCGTACCACAGAGTCTTAAAGAAAGCAATTATTTTCGCCACAGGGGGCCACTGGGTGGGCCAGCAATTGTATCAGGGTGGCCATGGCCCCCCTAGCCCCCATGACCTCTCCCGTGGGCGACAGTTGCAAACAACATAAGGAATACACACCGAAACGGAAAAAAGCAACAACAAAAAGTCAAGTTTTATCCATTACATAATCGTATCGTGATCAACATAATTCGTGTCCCACTAAAAGTCACTCAGACTCTCTGTATTGCTTTATAGAGAGCATAGAGGACTGTGTTGTTCATGCTGCAGGCGAAGCCGGTACTCGCTCTTTGTATTATTGCATTTAAGCTCTTTATTGTGACAGAGGCTCTTTTGACTTTTTCCATTCACATAGATACACTGTATGTCCTTGAAAAGAGTTCAGTATAAAATCGATATCACTTGTAAAGATTACATACTAAGAGAAAACAAGTGGTGGCAGAATGTGACCGGAGGAAATAGTTGTATAACAGCAGAGTCAGACATGGGCAACTGGGGGACAGAACTTCTTTCAAAGTATAAATATAGTATGAATACATTCAAAGCACTTATAAACTTTATTTTCCATATCAACAATGGATCCTTGTATGTGAAAGCTGTAGCCTGCACTGACATATCCACTGAAATTATCAGTAGTTCTCGGTTCCCCTCAGCTCTACAAATGGTTAGTATTTTTCAGCTCATTCAGTTCACACACACCATGCATTTTGAACTTTTGCAAAGCAAACTGTAACACGGGTTGGAAAGACAGGATTGAGATTTGCATGTAATAGTCTTCTTACCATTATAGTTGGTCCATGCTTGCTTTTTGGACAGAAAACAAATATCTGTGATAACAGAGCAAGACTTACAGGTAATAAATGTGGTCTGCCAACACAATAAAGCCCCCTGTTTGTGACACATCCTTGATTACAACAGTTCAGCTCAAAAAAGGTGGAAATGTGAGCCACTTTTCTTGATCTCAACAAGGTTTCAAGAAACCTAATCGGAACTGGTTCAAGAACCAGACATTATTTGGTGGAAAGGGGGTACAAGTCTACTGGAGGAAGATACGGAACCCCAAACTGCTCCTGTTGGCT